GCTCACTTTGCGGGCTTGTCGTAGCACTCGATGTTGATCACCTTGCCCAGATTCAAATCCACAAGGGGGAGCAGGTCCAGGGGGTGCGCATACCTGTTGTGTTTTTTTGGGGGGTGGGCAATGGTTGCTCAGTTGGTTCAGCGGGCGGGGTTGCGGGCAGTTGCGCGGGATGGTTGCAAGCACCGTGGGCCGGCGGCAGGGCGAGCCGGTTTTGCCAGGGCGGCGGTGCCGTCCGAGCAGCAGCGCAGCGCGCGGGCGAGCACACGGGCGAGTGCGCTTTCCCGGCGCCGCTCACTCGTTGTCGTCCTTGCACTTGCGCACGTACAGGAACCCCTGCATCAGCCGCCGCCCCTCGTAGCCCGGCGGGGTGCCGTGCAGCGTCCAGGGGTCAAAGATGATCAGATTGGGGTCCGTGATGCCGTACCGCTCCGCCACCATGTCCATCACCTGCCGATGGGAGGTTTCAGTTTTGCGCAGGGGTCGTGCGCCGGGTCGCATCACGTGTGGCGCGTGACACGAGCGAGGCCGGGCCAGGCGCTGCAGGTTAGAATCCATGCGGCAGTCAGGCGTGCGCCAAGCTGGGCGCAGGTGACGCTAGCAGTGTCGGCCGCGCGCGAGCCGGCTGTTGCATCCGATCAGCGCGGCCGCGGCTGCGTCCAGCGCACGCCCGGCCGGCGGCCGCCGCCGCCCTCTCGCGCCCACGCGGGCCCCGATGCTTCAAAGTCCATGAGTCTGGATGGATCCAGAAGCGGGCCACCGCGGGACGCTGCGATGATTCTAGTCCTGATTCTGAACCTGGCCCGCTTCCGTGTTGCGCAGTCATCTCACCCTTTTGTCTGCCAGGATGATCTCCTCCGCCAAAACGTTGTCGTCGGGGGTCGTCGTCGGCTGCACGCCTTCCAGCTGACGTGGCGGCGGGGGGCCGGACCCAAGGAAAGGTGAGAGCGGGGTGAGTGTGAGGAGGCGCGTAATGCACATGTGCGCTCAAATTCGTACCCACTCAGGCGTGCATACCCCTGGCGGAAAACAAGCACGCACATTCTAGATCTGCGGCCGCCTGCCGCGTCGGCGGCCCGCAGCCGCGACTCCCGCCTCTTCTGCGCCCTGCCCAAACAAAGCTAGACCGGCCTCTCGCAGCCCCGGCCTCGCCCACCCCGGCCCCAGCTGCCCACCAGCTTCCACCGCAGCATCCTGTCGCCGCCGCCGGCGGAGGGCAGATCCACGATGCCCTCGAATAGGTGGCCGTGGGGCGGGTTCAGCACCCACACGACCGCGCGCCGCGGCGGCCGCGCGCCGCGCCCGTTGTAAAAGGCGAGGAGGTCGCGCTTTGCGGGCTCTTGCAGCATCACGGTGTTGAAGCGCAGCGCGCCGGGCACGCCGAGCGCCGCGGCGTGCGCGCGCGTGCAGGCTGTCGCGCGGGAGACCTCCTGCGGCGACAGCTGGTCGAGGGGGTGGACGCCTGCGGGCGGCAGGGCGCGGGGGGCGCCGGCGGTGTTAACACGGCGGCGGCAGCGGCGCGGCGCGAGGGGTGCGTGAAATATGCGAGGGTCTACCTGTGCGCAGCTGCGCAGGTGCGCGTTGCATCGGGTGCACTTGTTCCGACTCTGGGGTGATCGAGCGCGCGCTGTACGGGTTCCGCTGAGTTCCGCGCGAGCGCGGCGCTCCGCTCAGCGCGCCGGCGCCACCCGTGCAGCGTCCGGGTGACAGGGCCTGGACGGCCCTAGGCCGCGCCAAAACGGTCCTCTAAATAGCGCAAACATCGCCTGGCGACCAGGATAGGCTGGCTCGCGGCCGCTTTGTGGCAGGCTCGCTTGCGGGGGTTTTGTGGCTGCCCGAGCAGCCCACACAGGGCACGAGGCCGCCTGGGCCTCCAAACAGGGGCTCTACTTGGGCTTTAACCGCCCCACGATGCCGGACCGCCGGGTCCGGGGCCGCGATGAGGCCGCAGTGGCCGGGAGATGCAGCGAGCATCAGCACCGCCTGGCCACCCCGTCTCTGCCGCACCCAGTCGTCCTAGGGTCACATAACATACATGGCTACTCAGCTGCTCGTCGCAGCGCACCTTCAGGGCCCTCGTAGGGCTCTGGGGCACGGCAGGCTCCACACTGCTCCATTTTGATGGACTCGACCCACGCAGACACCGATAGCTGGATATGGATAGATACTCGACGTCCCCAACCATACAGCGGGCGACCCTGAGGTCAGCCAGCCTGAGCGTGGGAGCAGCAAGCACAGAGTGCTTCGAAGCAGGCAAAGCCCGCGCGGAGGACTCCTTGATAGAGCTGGAGTGGCTGCTTGAATGTACTAAGTCGTTTGCCTGTGCACGAGCTTGATTCAGATTGGGGCTGTGGAAACTCGGGGAGCTGACACGATTTTCTGTGCCATGTGATGCGGGGTCACTAGCGCTTCTGGTCAGCCAGATGATTTCAGAAACTACTACGTGATGAAATTCGGGCCCGCGCATGGCGCGCAGGGCACTTCAGAGGGGGTCAGTGTCTGGGCTGGACACACCCGAGTGGGTTGGGTTTTGACGCAGCTATAAGCCGCAGGATCGCCTTGCCAATCTGCGTGCCTGTGTGGGATGAGATGCATAGGAATTATTAATTACTTTGTGTGCTGTCACGCCCCCTACATGATCTATCCTGGGGGCTGCACTCGCCCACCTCGGGAAGCAGCAGTGATGACTCGTCAGGACACCCGGCCCCTCCGCGAAAGCAATGGCGATCACCTGGTTTCCATTACGTGTCCATCAATGGTCGCGTTTATGCATTTGAGCGGCAGCGACGGTGAGCCGCCATGCACAATGTGGTGCGGGAAGAGGACAGGGCTGAAGCAGTTGGTTTTGGACACCTCGTGGGAAGTTGCATCCTGTTGTGAGTCATCGTGTTGTCCCGGAGGTGACGGTGTCAAGAGTGCCGCGTTGCATGGCATGCCCACACGCTTGCCATCGACGAGAGGCAGCCGCACAGCACGAGACGCCCGGGCTGTGCCTCCAGCCGGCCCCAGACTCGCCACCCACCCCATACGCAGCACCCCTTCGCACTAACCGGCAGCAATGAACATGCGTTGACTGGGAAAGCCGAGACAGCGACGGTACATGATGCTTTGCTTTCCCAGTCAACGCATGTTCAAAGGCGTCATCAACCGTGCCGGACGCCTTGCTATCAGCCAGTTCCTGGCAACACAGCCCGACGCATTGCTGGCCAGGTCCATTCCAGACACACGCCAGCCCAAGCCCTTTGCAGGCCCCGCGCAGCAATCCCTTGTTGATACTTTCTGCGGTAGCCCTGATATTTGTATGCTGCTGCCGACGCGGCAGTAACAGGGTTGCGCCATGCCTGCTGCTCATGCCAGCGCGTTGATTCGGCCGGCAAGCAAGGCGGGTTGCAGGAAATCGGCCGGCCAGGCCGCCCAGCTGGCGACATATGCGGCCTCCATTCCTCCAGCTTCCCTGGATGCACATGCCAGCATTCACAGGCTGCTGTTGCTCCTTGTGCGACGTTATATGATGAACCCCCTCCAACCCCCCGCCGCCCCTTTTAGCATCCAAATTCGGTCGCCGACCGAAAGGTAGCCAAGTGCTGCAGGTCACAGTGCATAGGTGGAGGGGGACCAGCGGGTCTGACCGTCACCAGTGGTCACTTTCTTAACAGCACTGAGAGACTCAAACTACTCACGTGTTGGACTTGATCCGACGTCGATGATGTGTTGCATCCCCAACTGTGAAACTGGCAGCCCTCGACTGAACAACCGCCGCTGCTGGGCAAGCCCCGCAGTCAAAATGTGACATAATACACAACCAACGTTGGGAGCATCTGCCTGATACCACCATTTTCTGCCTATGATACCTCATACACCTTCGCCTGTGGACCATACGCACATCATGATTACGAACACACTGCACACTCGTGATCTGACGGTCCAATTATTGTACGGTACTGTGAGCGCATTGCAATTACAGTTTTTTTAGAGTCGCGTGGTCCACGATAAATCTATGTTGGCCCCTGACACATACAGTGTTTGCAGGTGAGGTCGAAATCAGGCTGGTCTCGTGTACCTCCAAGCGGATTGCCTTCATGTAGATATGCGACTTTTACTCAATATTGTGGGTCGTCCGTTGCAGGCTCTATTCTTGGTTGACTTTGCGCGCAACACAGCAGCAGGCGGGTTGCCTCGGGCAGTGCGCTCGTGCCCAGCCAGGGCGGGCTTGTGATGCCCCAGCGCATTGTCAAGGTCCTCACAGCTCTACTAGGAGCAGGTGTGGGCCCAAATAGCGGTCGGCAATGCTCGTTGCCACGGTTGCTGCGATTGCAGCGACGTTGTGTGCGCGCGACGACGACAGCCCCCCAGTGCCCAAACATAAGTGCACGCTGGAGACAGTGTTGTTCGGGTATGCTGACTCTTGCCTGAATCTGGATGATAGATTTGCAGAGCATTATTGCAAAAGTATCAGCCAGATGCAATGCAGCGGTACACTGCGAACCTCCCCTCAATAACAACAACACACACACAGACCCGCTCTCTCACGGACGCACACAAACACCCTCACATACCCACACGCACGCTCCAACACGCTCACACGCGCGCGCCCACCAGGCGCCGCCGCCGCCACCGCCGGCCGCGCTGCGAGGGCAGCCATGACGGGTATCACCGCAGCCAGCCTGCGCGGCGCCGACGGGCGCTTCGACAACCCCTGGCCCACCTGGAAGGGCGACAAGTCGCTGTGGGACCTCCGAGAGTTTGCGAAGCAGATGCGGGAGCTGAGGGCGCCCAACTATGGCTACCTGTCTTACAAGCGGCAGCCCACCCTGGCTGATATGAGGTGGGGCCAAAGCCGGCGGCGCAGCCGGCCGGCACGGCCATGCAGCTGCATCCAATCAGCAGACAAAGCCTTGCAACTTTAGCAATGCTCTGTCGCTGGCAGCGCTGCCTTTTCTGTGGGCAGTTGGGGTTGATGAGGCGCTGGCAGCACTGCATGGGCTGCCAGCCCGCTGCCGCCAACCCACACGCGAGCCCCGCCAAGCCGGCAGCAGGAAAACACACCCTCCTCCCTCCCCTCCCCCGCCTCGCCCTGCCGCCCGCCGCAGTGCTGCCTTTCCGCTGCGCGCGCCTGATTACGACGCCCTCTCCAGCCCCGACCCCGCGGCCGTCTCCGCGCTGTGGGTCGGCCACGCGAGCGTGCTGGTGCAGATGGAGGGGCTCACCCTCTGGACTGACCCCGTGCTCGCGGACCGCGCCTCGCCGCTGCCCTTCGTCGGCCCGCGTCGCGCCGTCCCGCCGGTGAGCGGGGCCGCAAGCTCCGGCCCCTGGCTCGCATGGGAGGCGCCACGCCGGGCTCCGTTGGGGCTTCCTTGAAGCCCGGCACAGCTGGGTCTCCACACTCTGGCATCTCCCCCTCCCGCACTCTGCTGTTTCAACTTGTTGCTTTCGAAACCGCCGGTTGCCCCCCACAGGCCTTGAGCCCTGAGGACCCGTGGCTTCCAAAGGTGGATGCTATCCTGATCAGCCACAACCACTACGACCACCTCTGCGCGCCCTCAGTCAAGAGGCTGCACAGGTGGGCGGGCGGGGGCGGCCCAGGGGCAGGGGCCGTGCGCGTCGTTCTGGTGCCGTGGATGCCCGAGGGTCACTTGCACTCGCGTGCGCGCGGGTGCATTGGCTTCAGTTAACTGGACTCGGATGCTGCTGCAGCGATTGCGCGACGCAGGACGGCCTCAATCTGCCCCTTTTCCCCGCCATGCGCCCTCATCGCTGCTGATTGGTGTCTGAACGTAACTTGCGTCACCCATGCATTGCGTCACCCCAGGCGGTACGGTGACGACCTGGTGTGGTACGTGCCGCTGGGTCTGGCCGAGTGGTTCGCGGCACGGGGCATCAAGAATGTCAAGGAGCTCGGCTGGTGAGGAGCCTGTGCTGCTGCTACTGCCACTGCCGCTTCTGCCGCTGCTGCTACCGCTGCCGCTGCTGGTGCCGCTGCCGCTGCACTTGCCACTGCAGCCGCCGCTGCTGCTGCCGCTGCTGCCGCCGCTGCTGCTGCCGCTGCTGCTGCCGCTGCTGCTGCGGCGGCTCAATACCGGCCTATCACAGGCAGCACTGCCAGTCTGTACTAGTGCAGCCCCCGGTGCTAGCTGGCTCCTCAGCGCCGCTTCACAATCCCCCCACCCCCACTGTGCCGCCGCGCCCTCGCAGGTGGGAGCAGGCGCAGCATCCTGGCAGCAAGGTGCGGGGCGGCGACCGCCCGGCCATCAGCACGCGCACGTCTTGTCCTGCCCTGGCCCCAAGTCCCCCCCCTATGCTCAAGGGCTGGCATGTGTTCCTCCAATTCGCCCTTTTTCAGTTCCCTCCATCTCATCTTTGTCGTCTGTGCTTCGTGTGTTCATGCCAGTTCCTTTCCAAGTCCCTCGTTGCGCGCGCTTGCGGCTCATGCTCCCGCTGCCGGACTCTCCCTACCGCCCACCCAACCGCAGGTGCAGCTCGTGCTGACGCCCGCACAGCACTGGAGCGCCCGCGGCATCATGGACCGCCGCAAGACCCTGTGGGGCGGCTGGGCCGCGCTCGGCGAGCGCAGCCGCTTCTGGTTCGCGGGGGACACCGGCTATGCCCCCGTCTTCAAGGTGGGGCACGCCAGCTCCTCTGGCGGACGCGGCCGCTTTGCTGCACGCGGCAACCCGCCGCTCGGCCTGGCTCTTCCCTAACAGTGTGCTGGCGGGCCGGCTC